TGGAATATCCCCACTTGATGACATATATATACATATTTATTTATTTATTTATTTATTAGTACACAAGATGTACTCGTGTGAACAAAATGATAAAAGAACAGCCGATGAACAAAAACCAGCTTAACATTGCATTCTGAAACAATATAAGAAAGAAACAAAGCATTCGGAAACTATATAAGAAAGTAAGAAGGAATCCACATCAAAAAAGATTGCAAGACGGCAATCGAGAAAGATTGCCATGAAGGAGAAAGAGGGAAAAGGGATTTCACGAAGAAAAGCACTTGTTTAGATAATTTTTGATTATAATGTGTGACGAACGGAGGCATACGTTGCTTGCGCATTTTATTAAACAAAGGAGCCACTCTGTTAGTGAAAAAGAGACGCCTACAATTCAATCTAGCTCGACCCACATAAACTTTCATGCTACCTCCTCTAGTAACGGATGGTCTGAGAGTCCAGAGATCGTTGAATGGCATGTCAACTTTACCTTGGGAGAATTTGGGAGAACTTATGAAATAATAATAAATCATTTCGCTTGCGTCTCATTTGCAAGGTTGCTAAACCAAAGTTTTTATTTCTAGTTTCGTTAGAGAGGATTTGGTCGTACATGAAACCTGAAACCCTAATCATTAACTTCCTTGTGAAACTGTTTTGGACGGCTTCCATTTTTCTGATTGCTTTGACCTTGTAAGGAATGAACAGTGGCGTACGTACTCCAGTAAGGATTTTACATAGGTCTTGTAAGCTTGCATCAATACGGGTACACTCGTATTCGTCAAAGTTCTGAATGAGTTGTGTAAGGTGATGGTTGCTTAAGTTCGCAATGCGCGTCAAAGCTAAGTTAGTTGTCAATAAGATCGGAGACCACTTCAACACCATTTAGCATTGCGTACCGCAGCGTTTTCGCGCTAGCTGGCGCATGTGCCTGGCGTTTTCTTCAGAACCGTTATGAATCGCGGCGTACAGCACGCGACCACACAGAACGGTTTTTTGAAGGAATCGCAAAGTATATGCTGTTCGAACTTTACTCAAACTCTAACGTGGTCCTGGACCAAAACGAGGGCACGCAGACGGAACGGGCGTGCTGCATCATGTGCAGCACGCGGTGCACAATGGGTTAACGGTGTATCATTGATATAGTAGTTATGACGAATGTTTCGTCAGCCAAGATGAAAGACCTTGGTTTTAGTCTCGCGAAGAGGTAAATTCCACCCTTCAGACAGAGTACAACAGAATTCAGCACAGATTGAAGGTAAAGTGCATCCTCATCATTAGTAATGATTTGATAAAGTTTAAGGTCGTCCACCAAAGCACAAATGCAAGCATTATCCTGTTCAGTGAGGGACATAAGATCGTAGATATAGACGTTGAAGGCACAGTTCACGACAATTTTGGGTAATCCAAATTATGATGAAAAATAGAAGACAAGATCGAAAATAGTACGACTGAGGCGAAGGAACTTTCACGTTCGTTCATCGGTGTTTCCAAAGTGAAAAAAAGGCTCTGAAAAACCGTTAAAAAGGGGACTGGACGAGAATGAAACAGAAAAATGAAGAAGAGTGGAGCGTTCAGACGAGCTAAACAGTGTGTTTCACTGCGCGCGTGTGGATTCTGGTGCGAATAACAGACAATGGTAAGCAGAAATTCTTTCACTTATAAGCATACATAAACAAAAAACCCTAGTAACAGCAAAAGTAGCTAACCTTTTTCANCCTCTAGAAGTAGGAAATTAAATAAGGGATCGCGGCAGCAAATAGAAAACAGGGGAAACAATGGGAGAAAAACATCGCCTCATCACTCGGCGATTAGCTGATTGTGCGTGGGTCCTAGAACGAATAGTAGCAACCTGTATTGTCTCGACACTAGTCTAACGTGATACCGATTGAGGGGCGGGAAAGCGAACTACGGCAGCAACGGGGCTTCCACTATGCCTTAAGCGCCGAGTTTGTGGGAGCGAGAAGGTCCCTTCTACTACCCTTGGGGGCCACTGAGTATTGCTAAAGGAAAGAACTCAGTAATCATTTTTATCGTGAACCGTGCCTTTAAACAGGATTGTGGAGAGGACCCCGCCTTGTGGAACTCCGCTATAAGCAAATTTGGGCGGGGAAAAAGAAGACTTGATACGAACAGAGAACTGTCTTCCACTTAGGAATGCCCGAATCCACGCAACTATACATGGATGAATATCATTTTGGACAACAGTTTTGATGGGGGGCTCTATCAAAGGTTTTGGAAATGTCGAGGTAAAGCACATCGACCATCCTCCCATCATCCAAACATTTTGACAGAAAATTCTAAAAGAGCGGATCCTCGAACATCTTGATAATTATAGTATCATCTCGACCCAGCAGAGACCGACATCGACCATCCTCTCATCATCCAAACATTTTGTCCAGTGATAATAGATTGAATCATAGCAGTAACTGTGGATCTACCCTTCTAAACCCATGCTGCTCGGTCGAGATGATACTATAATTATCAAGATGTTCGAGGATCCGCTCTTTTAGAATTTTCTCAAAAAGTCTGAAAAGATGGAAGCGATACTTATTGGTCTATAATTCTGCTGCAAGTTGTGTGGAGACTTCTTCGGAATTGGCGTTATGAGCGACTGAACATAACGATAAGAAACTCATAAGACATATCTGACGTTCCGGCAGGAGGCGACAAAACACACCGCTCTCGGTTTGCTCAGTAGCCTGAATGGTCATACAGGGATCACTAAAATTGGAGATCACGCCACTGCAAAATGTTGTGGTGATCTCATGGTAATTGTTTCATCCATGTGACCCCGGTACTGTATAGATTTCACACAGTTCAAACATCACGATTGCGTGTGTAGGTGCGGAGAAAGGAATGAAATGAGTCCGAACAGACGTTGTTACCTTTGAATCTCTCCTTTATAGATTCCTTCGCTTATCCTTTCAAATCACTCAAATCTCAGAGTAGTACTCAACCATCTCCGCAACGTCTTGAGGATAGATATGGCTGTTGTAAAGTTTCCAACTTTGTCTCTCTCGCATAACTTTCCGCTGTACATCGGGATCGATGGATGTGGAAATTCTGGCTGTCCTACTCGAGACAGACTCCTAGTTAGTCGATTGTTGATTTCTCATGTTGACTATGCAAAAAATTGATTCTTCGGGCGAAAAAATAGTTTTCTTGGACCAGCTCTGCCAGCATCATACCAATGTTTGCCTGACGCTTCATTTGAACACTTTTCTCTTTGACCAACGGATGAGGCATGGTTACCTGGTTTTCGGCTTTTCTGTCATATATGTTGAAGCAGCTACACATTCCTCTGGTCTATTGAAGATATATTGTAGTATCTAGTATCTATTGATGATGGCCTGCTATAAAAACATTCTATTGACTTTTCTTTGTACTACCCTCGAAAGGCCCTTCCAAGGGTATAAGTGAACCTCATCAAAGAGTGTTTAAGATATCTGCTACCAGCTCCTTACAATTGCTTCGCTTGTAAAGATTATTGATGACTTCAAAAACAAACCAGGGTAGTAATCTTAAGAGGTTGGAGTTGGCCTGAGACGACGTTGTTTTATTCTGAAGGAAATGTTTTGAACATATCTATTTATTCGTACAAAGAGATGACCTAAATAGTGCAGTTCTTGGAATGCTTCTGCGACGAATACTGCTACGGCGGACTGGATGTTGCAGATTATTGCTTCAAAATATCAGCCTAGCGAAACACGGAGAATGGTGACACCGACTTTGACTGAATCATTGCTGGAATCTCGCCCCCAGTGTCTGAGGCCTCTACAGTTATGTTTTTACAGCGACGGTTCAAAAGTCAACGCATGAAAACATGACAGCAGTTCCTTTGAGCTTTTTCAGCCAACGCCACTGAACCCATCAAACTTATATGGAGGATCGAACTTACACCGAGTGTTCCGTTCTTGTAGCCCTTCTTACGGTAGTACACGCATCGCTTCAAATCCTCAAAGCCGTGTGAAGATAGTTGAAAATGACCTAGGTCTGATCAAAGGGCAGCGATATCATGAAATTTCCACGTATTTGTTATGGGTATATAGGTGGGCTGTTCCCTCATACTATGGAAACATCATTCCACAGCAATCTAAGATTTTGTGAAAATTTTCGCACATTACGGAGCACTGGTGAGTCATTTGTTCAGCTATTTGCTTCCATAAACAACTGAGGCGAAATTGGCTGCAAATTCATGATTCATGAGATTACTAAGTTCTAATTTCAGCCTCCCCTACTCGAGCAGATAGTTAACTAGGTACTGTAAATAAAGAATTTATTGAAGATTAGAACGGAACAATTCAACGAAAACCAGCGGGAAGGAAAATGCTATTTCCTGTTATATCGGAAGGCTTACGGTTTCGCTAACACAATCCGACGTAACAAATAGATAACTGCGAGAAGTCAGAAGTGACAAAGCAGTAATTTGAATTGATTCTTTTAAAACTCACCAGAACTCTTTACAAGTACTCAAATATTATACAAAACAAATGTCACAGGTAACCGAGCAAACAGGGAACGAGGTGGCATTGCGGAACAATACATTGTTAGAGAAACAGCGACGGCTACAAATGATGTAGAAATAACCAGAACAGAAAAGCTCACGAGCCTATAAGTGCGTTTGTTCCACCATGGAGCGGGTTGCATGAGCAACTGAGCTGATAGGGTTACCTGCGAAGGTATCTTGAAAAACCCATCACGACAACGTTATGAGATAACGCTTAACTGGTCGATTACGCAGGAATCGTAGAAGCTCCGCAGCAGACATTTGACTGGATGGTTTCTGCAAGAAATATTAACTATCTGGTAGCCAATGTTCCATTTCTATCACCAAAGTTCTTTGTGCCATCTCCAAGCATGTTATGAACCATGACGAAGTGTAGCCAGAACTTACGCTTACTACATACTTTTAACAAAGACCGATATGTCGTTTAACATGGCGGTTACATTGTTCAGCTATAGCCTCCCTCGTCAGAATGTCGTCGATATGACTTTGCTGGGACTTATTTCGAGGGTGGCACAATCTCAATGATCTTCTTTTCACGCGGTGGCAATGGCTGTCTGCTAGGCTGAAAGACTTCAGTAACTTCGTGGCATCACAAAAACGCTGATAACAAGCTTTGACCTACAATCCTTGCAAAGCAATGCAAAATTGATTCATTGATTTACTGACCTGCTGAGTAGGATCAAAGTACACCACATCGGTCGGTTGGCGAGGTATGCTGAAGTTGTGTTGTGGTGGCGGAAGAGGAGGAGGAACGGTGATCGGAGCAGGTGGTGGCAAAATCTCGCCTCTCTGCTCTGAATATCGCTTCGGACCAGTGAATCCGCGCGGTGGGTATGGCTCAGCATAGGTGCCGCGAGGCGACTGAGGAAGACCGCCACGTGAACGACCAGCGTATCCACCTCGAGTTCCATAACCTCCTCGAGTATCGTAATAGCTCCCGCTGTCCAGAGCTGAAAGGGAAAACAATTTTGCCGTAGTTCCACATTCAAGAGAAGGTCAAAGATAGTTGTACAACAATCCCAAAATGGTTGCTTTTAAAATGTTTCTGGTGTGAAAATAGTTGCAGGATATTGCCAAAGCATCGTGGTGATCCCATTTTATGAAATGGTGTGAAGAGAAAGGCTGCAAAAGACATGTACGACTTCGACCTGCTTAACACGCAGCATCCACAGAATTCAGTGATTTGGAGATAACCGTTCTCTTTTCTCTACAGACTTATAATCCAACATGACCTCGTCAACAACCACCCCTCGACTATCAAAGTGAAAATATCAGGCTTCACTTAACGTACGTTCAGAATCGAAGCGTATTATACGGAACTTGAGGGTTTATTCCCATTTCTATAACGACTGTACATATTTGCGAAGCTGCTGATAAAGTTACAGCTTTTACACTGAACCTGCGTTTTTAGAAGTCTGAACATCATGCAAAAAAAAAAACAGATTAATTATGACGGCAATATTCTTCTGCGTGGGCGATGTTCTTATATGAAACTATTCACCTCGGATGAAATTAGCACTGCATTACAGTGAAGCATTTCCAAAGCGTCTTCGCAAGATGCCGTCGAATCAGAAAACATAACTAACAGCAACAACAAGAAGCATCGTTCAGCTCTACGGTCAGCAGTACACTAGAAATAATAGCAGCACATGCTCAGGCAGAGAATTAGGTAGTTGCGCACAGTTGGGAGCAATCTGCTAGATGGGGTCAGTGTATGGATCAATGGAAACATCTAGTCAGTTTGAGGTGCGCAGGCTAGCAACAGCGCCGAAATCAAATCGGGAGCAACGTTAGCAATTTTGAAATAAAGCATACGATATTAGTGCTTGGAGATTTCGGCAAGAAAGTCACCAGCACGCTCTGAGTTCTCAAGAAGAAAATTTAAATTAAAGAGATGTGCTTGAAATGCTAGATGTGACTCGTCAGTAACGTCATGGCGCGATTTTCTTTTTAATCGCAAACAGAGGAAACTCGATGGTCTAAATCGCCACCACTATTGCCTACAAGGGAACAACATTGAAGTAATGAGGGACGGTGAGAGATATTACTCAAACTGCGTGGAATCTTGAGTGAGCTCCGAATACGCTGTTGGAATTGTTAGAAAGATCATCTCGAATTGTGTTTGAGTTTCCAATGAAGACGACTAAAGCATAACTTACGTTTAACTTTGGGATAAACTTTTCACGTTTAAAGGCAATCATTGTGGTGCAGACGCGTGCATAGGTGGCGAAAAAAGCGCGAATATCTGCAGAACTTGCAAAATGTGAGCTCGTCAAAACTAGTTAAAATATTCAGGAAGTACCAGGTTATGACAAAGAGATCTCAGTCGAGCACAATTGCATGAAGAGCTGGCCAACTCGTAAAGCCAAAAGCAGCAGCAAAGTCCGCAGATGACCGCGAAGTTGTGATAGCTTCCATAATCAACCTATGATTTTATGAAGAGGAAAATGCTACTCACCTCTCGGAGAGTAGCCTGCATTTCTTTGTGGAGGCACCTCATCGCGTTGATAGGTAGGTTCACGCACTTCACCGCTACGAGCCGATGCCGTAATTGTTCGCATAGATAGCCCGCGTGACGCTCCGTAAGAGTTTCCAGCTAAAACGAGAGTTTTAGAAACCTTTCCAATAATGCTGAACCTGATTTCTCTGCTAAAGACCATAAGCATATTATCGCAATTATTATTTCTTTTCCATATATGCTTGTTGGTTACGAATTTTTGGAACATTTGTGATTGAAATTAATTACGTGCGTCATACAAATTTAAGGTAAAGCGAGAACTTCTGAATAATGTTCAGCAATGAAAAACATGGTGTGCTAGATTGTGACTGAGAGAGAAAACATTTCTCACCAAAACAGGGACAACAGGGAAACCACACAAATAAAGTCATGGCCCGCTTTGACACTTTCCTCTTCAGTCGAACATTTCGGGCAGCGAACCAGGTTGAATACGATTTTTCAAAAGAGTACACCATTAAAAATCTTCTAGAAAAGCAGGTTGCACCATTCGAATTCTACAACACCTCCCAAGTTTCCTTCAACTTTTTTGCTTTTGAATTCTACATTCACCAAAAGTCAACACACTCATAAATGCGCAGACATTCACATGGTTGGTACGAAAGCAAAAGATTATGTTCTCATAGACCTTGATTTTACTAGAAGACAGATCAATCTGCTAAATCACTGTAAGACTTCGTCATCATGGCTGCAGAGAAAAGCAGCATAAGCGACCGGGAATTAGATGAAGTATGCATCAAAAGAAGATTTCGCTGCTCAAATTTATCGTGCTCAAATTTATCGGGGCTGGACAACTGCCACGTATGGCATTGTGTCCGAAAATTAGAAATTGGTCAAGAACATCATGGTACATCATAAACATCACATCATGGTATCATCTACTCGTAGAAGCACACTGTTGAGCAATTCATACACAACCAGTGAAACAGGCATCAGCTGTAGACAAAACATAGTTATTATAGATTTGTGAATTTATGAAGCCAGAATCCAATGAGCATTGGGTTGGGATAGATGTCGATGCAGGTTTCAAGAATTTCACGTGAAGAGTAACGTGGTTGAAGCGAGTGCTCGCCAAAAATTGACGGCTATCGCCAGCTTCTGTTTATGATATCAACAAAATGGCAACAATTACAAAAGGCCATTGTTGCTCAAAACCACGAACCATGGAACTCTAATTGTGACACTTTTCCAACGAAAAATATCGAAAAGTGGATTAAATAGCCTATTCACCCAACCTGCATCAATGTTTGGTGTTTCGACTGTTTTGTTTAACTGAAGCCACGTATCGGTGGCAAGCTTCCGGACATTTGATTGATGCCTACGCAATAGTTGAGGAAAAGAGGCGCCTGATGTACAGATGCTACCTGGACGCATGGAATGGGTCCTTCAGAGCATTGGAGCCTACTTGATTCAACATTGTAGATTAACAGCTTTGTTATCTCATCCGCTGCTCATGGTGACCGAAAAAGCATGATAAATTTTCAAATGGAATGACCTAATGGGATCATCAAGCGTAATTCCAATGAAATGAGTAGATTGGTAAGCGAATGGACAGCATAGCCCAATCGCAATAAATTACGTAGCGTAAAGCGGTTTGAAACCTGAAAATGGAATAGGAGAAAAGATGAACAGGAATGAAAGTTGAGGCAGTGTCAGAAGTGGAGAGAAGAAGAATAAGCAAGGATAGCAAGAGTCAAGATTCGAAGAGACCAGTTGAAAGTGCAGGAAACCTTAAATAAAAAACTGAACAGGGAAGCACTGAGAAGCAAAAGAAGAAACGTGGAACACGAATATATTAAATAAGAGATTCCAACGCAAAAACGCTGTGAAGATAAGAAAAGTTTGATTAGAAAATAGGAAACTCATCTATTCAAGAATATTCTACGCTAAAATCAGATATATTTCCAAATTTTTTACAAGCAATCGCAGAATTGACTCTACCATTTTTAAAACGCGGAGCAGATATTATCGAGATACATTTTAGGACTGAAACCAATCGGACTCACTCACCTCCTCTAACCGCTCCTCTCATGGCGCCACGCCGGTGGTTTTCATACCCTCTTTCTTCAACATGTCGGTCCTTTCGGTAACGATCAGTATCCGCTTCACGGTCCTTGTCATGACGCTCTCTATAAGAATGGGCTAATAAGCGAAACATAAAATGATAAATATAGACAGAATAATCAAATTATTCGTTAATTATTGCACGGCTTCATCCAGAATGCAAGCAAGGATTCAGTTTGATTCAATGCCGCATTCGAACGGATCAGTATCCCAGAATATTTGAATATCCCCCCACCCTCCCCTCTCCCCCAATCTCCCCTCAGTACAGCTCAGTACAGTACAGGTGAAAGAAGTAAAAGAACCTCAAAGGTTGATGCCTATCCATCCGATGTACGCCCATACTGCCTCGGCTGCCACGTACATTGCGAACAACACGAACATCGACACGCTCGTTGCGATCGCGCCGGTGCTCTGGACGTACTTGACGTCGCTGACCAACGTGCAGGTCGTCATCATCGTCATTATTGACCCGCCTTTCATTCGCAACTCTCTCATCTGAAAAAAAAAACCTTAATTGTTAGGATGAGCTTTGCACAAATTCGCACGGTACTTCGCGGAGTCCCTCGCTCGCGATAGGTTGCAAAAAATAGTTACCAGGCTCAAGGAGAGGGCCTGTGCATAATACTGCGCTAGTGGCAGAGAACATGACAACTGCCTCAGCAACCCCGAAATTTATCACCCTTCTTAAACTGGTTTATTTCTAAGACTCTACGAGATTTTGATGGCGAAAGACTCTTTGGAGGGTCTTAAAAGCTGCAGAGCAACGATGCAAATGCGTTGGGATATGACAGAACAAAAGACTCCACCTCCTTTGGATGGTCCCGACAACCAACTGACTGGGGCTATGGTTATACGAGTTGTTTCGAACTGATGGTGAGGTGCGATATGACTCTATTTAGTTGAGAACACACAAGGAAGAAGATACAAAATGTGAAAATTACAAAAATAGCAAAATGAAGTGCTCTGAAAAAAGAACCTTTAAAGGTAAAATTATCTACTTAATCTTATTAGATTCAATTCGATTTTGGCAAAAGCAAACCTCTCGTAACTCTCGCCTTATTCTTCACTTATTACAATGTACCCACTTAACATATCGACGCAGTTCTGTGTAATCGAAAGCCAGCAGTGAATCATTAATATGCTCTGGTCGTTTTCTTGCAACTTCGGCGGACACAAATGAAGGCTGCTGACATATTCCATTCGATTTATTCATCCGTCTTACTTACTCCACCACGGATTGTAAACGAACAACTCAGCCCCTACTTTATAAAAACCACGAGTCATTGTTTTTTGTTCATCTTCAGCTTCTATGACGTCTTCGTGAAATTGAACGGGAGCAACTCAACTAGGATGGAAATGTAGGGCATGAGTCGAGAGTGTGCCGCCCCTAAGATTCAAGCTCGACCTCACCCACTGTTGGTGCACGAAGTTGTGCGTTAACTAAAAATAAGCAATGCAAGTAAACTGGAGTTCGAGAGAACTAGTACAGCCCAGAACTTGGAGTAAGTATGGGAGAACTTGAAATACACACGATTAAGCATGAAAGGGGATTTCGCACAGGTAGACGAAGAGCGCAGAAAACTAGACTTATCCATGTAAAGAAATCCAGCTCGCTACTAGGCACCTAAAAATAAAACAAATGTGATGGATCCAACGAGCACTGTGTGCAGGAACGGAGCGTTAAGTATGTCATGCACTACTCGACTAAGCCGAATTTTGCTCCAGATAGCTCTCAAGTGGGAGCCACCCATCACAAAAATTTACAGCGCTCTATAGAAACGTTTGGAGCCTAAAAAAAGTGATAAGAGCCTGACGAGGGAAGAAAAATGAAATAGTTTATATTCAGGGATGGGTATCAAGGTGGGCGTAGCATGGTTGGAAAACTAACATCAAAATTCAGAATATTCAAAATGCGGAAAAAAGTGAGTAGGGGTAAGTAAAGGAAGAGAACTGATAAAGAAATTATATGGCAGGTGGAGTGAGCATCGAGCAGAGACAAGTGCGCGGAGCTAGGATCAAAGTCTACAATTCTACTCAAAAAACGTAGATTCCCATAGGTGGAGCCGAAAGTTACACTTGACAGGCCGGTAGCATATGTGGGGAGGAGCTAAGACATGAATTGTCATTCATGTTGACTACTGGCAGCTTCGATTTTAGATGTTAAGCTATTCAAAATCTGAGAAGGTCCAGCAAGTGCAATTGCAAGTACCTGCTTTGATAACGGTCGATATGAAGCTCACAACTGCCTCGATAAGCGACAAGTACGCTCTGGTGAAATAGGTCTATTCAACAGCAACGATTAATATGCTTTGTTACTGACTATGTGTTATGAGCCAAGCTCCCTTTTGTCGCAGATGGTTCACGTAAGAAAAGAAAGCGCGCGTTACAGGATTGCAAGGCAATATCGATAAATCAATACCGACAAGTATCGTCTCCAATATGGCGGAGGTGGTGAGTAGCAAGTGGTGCACTTCACAAGCACTTCGCACAAGCATGGTCAGGAGTTCGGATCCAGGATCAACACCCACCTAGGCCTATCTCTCCATGATCGCTTAATTGGTGCGAGTCTCATCTGGGAGGATGAAAGAACTGACTTGTACATCTGCTGATGCAGGTTACTGTACAGGCCACATACGCATTCAAATACGTAACTACGATTCTGAATGGGAGCCGAATGCGTGGGAGCATTCTTCAGACGGGATTGATCAACGCCCTGAGCCAAGAATTCTAATTACAGACTACATAACATGTCTGCCGTGCTATACATATAATTTACAATCACGGGGAATACTCATCACTTAGTATTAAACCAAGAAGCTATCTAAAATGAACAACTGCATTTACGTGACGATGAAAAGACTCTTTTTGATACGAAAGAAGTACAAAACAGCTGAAAGCAATATCGATTTGGTTGGTAGAAATTAAAAGTACGAATTAGATGCTAGCACTCTGGTAAATAATAACAACCTGACTGTAAAATTACCAATTATACCGACCGATGGATCTCTATGCAATACTTCAAATTCGCAATTTGTTTTTTACGAAATGAATCCCAATGTAAAAAACTATGTGAACAATGGCAACTTGCAAGAAACCTACCACTATTCCCTTGAGAAGACTTCTCCTCTGCTGTTTGCCTTTCAGGTTTCTGCGTGCCTGACCTTCGTGTTGGTTGCTTGGACACCGTTTCGTTGGTCCTTTCAGTTCGCTGTCTCGGTTTTTGTCTCACTAAATGAGAAGTTCACTGTAAATATTCCTATAAACTTGGGTTCAATTAATGGAAATGAAAAATTGTAGATGTAAGATTGACAACCATAGTGACCTACCTTCTCTCTTCAATCGTCTCTTAACTCCTGTTGGCTCCCCGTCCCTGACAGCCTCCTTCTTGCCCTATAAGCAAGTTAACTACCAATTCTGAGCTGAATATAAGATATGGCAAATACACGGCTACATGCTACTGAAGGGCTAGCAATCGGGTAGACGGACAAATTGTTTCCGTACAGCTCACACAGTAGCGCTTTCACCAATGAGAGCTATAAGAATCAGAAAATCAGACTTTAAAAATTTATTTGCATATAATTGAGACAAAGAAAGGATGAGCAGTGCATTGAAAGGGGCTGTACTGGATTGGAAAAAAGGCAATAGAATATAACCAAGGCCCTGATAACCATGCAAACTTAATTAACTTCAAATATTGCAGGTAAAAAACTTACATCTTCTGAGCGTTTTCGTTGTTCGGCCTCTTCCTGTGTTTCTCCTTCGCGAATATCAAAGCCATAGCGTGTCATTATCTGCTTCTTGGTTTTCGGGCGCTGCCATCTCTCATCAAACCTTAACAACTCCCTTGAAAGAAGAGAACAGAACATGAGAAGAAAAAGTTCATAAATGTTTTAGTAACAAACTGAACAGTAGCAGCTACCTATCATGTTTCCAAGTTCCATCAGCTCTGCTTATCTTCTTTTCCTCTTCTACTTCTTCATCTGCGTCCCGAGAATCGTGCATATAATACCTGCCTAAATTGCACCTCGTGTTGAGCGAAGGCACATAAAATTATAAAAATGTCATCGGTCGAACAACGGCGAGCATGAATAATGGAACCGTATGAAAACCAAAAAAGAACACCTACCTTTCCTAGGTATATAGGCAGGATTGTCCTCAATTTCGTCATCATCAAGTTTGACAGATCCTAAAAATAAATTACTATCACGTTATTCAATCATTCCTAGATCCTACCGCTATTCACTTCGATACGTTAGTTAGGTTGTTAACCCATTGGCGACCGCGCTTTTATATTGTCCTTACATTAACTTTTATATTCTCTTATATCTCTATTTAGAAATGAATGATTCCTGTACCGCAATCTTCAAGATTCTCTAGAAGGCTGTGAGCTCAGCTGATACATGAAAACATGAAAAAACTATAGGAACACCTGATAAATAATATAAATACCCCAGCGAGCCAAAAACGTGCGTCCTGGAATCGGGACGCATGGTCGCCAACGTGTTAATAAGCATGCTAATAGGAGATCACGACATCTTCGAGTCGAATATTTCCCCTGCTTCCTTTAATTTGTTTGGCATAACTCATAATTTATAGCTAAGGGTACAAGTCTTCTCATTGTTATTCAGCCCAGCATTTGCTATGTTCGATGAGAACTGAATTTCGAAAAAAAAAACTCTCCTTCTCTGAATCCCTTCTTGGCTGACAAAAATTTTGCTTCAAGCTCTACTGCATTAAGCGCTAAAACGGGTTTTTGTGTTTTTGACTGCATCCATTTCATGCCTCGCTGATTTTGCAGTGCCACAAGTAGCTAAATAGCTTTAGGTTAGTCATCTAAATGCAAGAGCCACGGTGTCGCAGTACGCGACATTACTATCTTGCCTTAAAGACACAGTACACGTCAAAATTGGTTACTGAGATTTCTCATCACGATGAACCTGTGACCCCAAAGGATAGCCTACGAACGTTGTCGGGTCGAAAAACAGACAAGATAAGGTGTGTGAGATCCACATATCCAAAACCAAAACCGGCTTAGCCGACGCACATACCCAAGGCGGACGTTCTAACAGTTCGTCCATTTACTCCCATGCAGTTTTTTTTAACATTCTCATCCAAAATCAAATTTACTTCTTTTTTTAAGTTTTACATTTCTCCAAATACGCCGATTTTCGCATTTTCCCGCCACTTTTGCACTATTCTGGACTATCACTTCCAGCCCGTCTAAAATTGGATAATCCAAAATTATCACGAAGAATAGATTCGGCATTCTAAAAAACTTGTATAGCAGAAAAGTGTTGAGAAAATGTGTTTTTACAGCTTAGTTTCCCTTACCTAAAGAAATATTTCCCTGCTTTGAGCTGCCTTTTCCGTTTTCCACTTTCTACTCGATAATCTTAGATTAGCCCATGGTATAGCGTATGGCATTGTATAGGAGATAGTGAACGAAAATACGCTTCCACACGATCATGATCGCCTCGCTTTTAAGTACGGGTTAAAATCAGGGCAACGGTCAAACTCCGCTAATCAGATTGACGGGTAGCTAGCACGAGTTGTCTAATAAAATTCCATCAAAAACCCGACAACGAGGTGATAAAGAGAGGCCATGTCCCCATAGCAAAGTAGCTGGGAACGATTGCACCGAGCAAACGCCTCCTCTATGCCTCGGTGATGAGATCAAGTGTAACGAAACAGCTCAGCTTTTTCGTATAACGACTGCTTAGGTATTATTTATTATGTTGACTGCTTAGTATGAGATCGGTCATTGTTCGTCTGGAAGTCCTGCTAAAAACTAACTAATGGGGCAGAGGGGCCAATGAGCAATATCAATACTCTCAACTGTCTCTGAAACAATGATCAAACCTCACTGAGCATCAGCTTCAATTAAAACTCATTCATACACTAAGTAATCAAAGTGGTTTCGATGACCGAAGGACAGACAAAAAGGTTTGACTTATGAAGACGCTCTTTTCACACGCGTACCGAAGCGACTACTGAGGTTCAGCGGAGGAAACCTGCTCCAAAGTAATTTCGTTATTTTTCAGGTGCATTAAAATAACTATCACTCAAAATTATATGATCCAGCGGGTCCTTACAGCGGATAGCAGTGCCACTTTTCTTCAGAGCAATATGTGATAAAACTATCTGGCAGAAATATGAGCAACGGAACCGTTAAGTTCCCCCACAAGCTAAAAAGAATTGCTAGATCAAATTTTCTTGTTGCAAAATGTTAACACCATATACGACATCGCAACTTTTGAAAAGTAACTTTAAAAATCAGAAGACTGTCGTAAACCAAGGTTCATTTCATTAACCTACTAGCAAATTCGCGCTTTACGCAGGCTGCCCCTAGCAGAAGTGAGTAATAAAAATCGAGCCGAAACCAACAAATAAAAGAAGTCAAACAACGTGCACCTCACAAAGCTACTCACTCACTACTCACTAAAGGTGAATGCTTTCATAATACCTACGCTAACGATCGCGCCGGCGTCGTGCTAGAAGTAAAAAATGAATGGTAAGAATATCGGCCGTTCATTAATTTACTGCATTTCAGTTGAGAATAGCGGCCGCCCATTAATATACCGCAGGTCAAAGACTGTTGCTTGCTTGAATGGTATTCTGAGGGTTAAGAATGCATATCTGACTCTCTCTTCCCCAGATATTGATTGATTACCCTTTTGCCTAGACTGCTCAATAGTTTACGTTGGTAAACGTAACATTTTATGCATCGAACGCTTTCTTGTTCCCTTTTAATCCACTGTTAACCTTAGTAAAATTTATTATATGCTACCTGAATCGTGTTCATCCATACGGATCATGGTAAGGTTTATTACTTTTAAGCGCGCTTTTCAGCATTTTGTTCGTTCAAAAAGGCCCTTGATTACAGAATGAGTCATTGACCGGTGAGATATGGATCGACGGCCGAAAACGACGACGATGTCGGCGTTCATAATATGAACATATTGAGCAAACTGTCGAATGTATAGTTGGTTCCAAAGGATCGAAAAGAGACTTTCCCTCAAAGTAATTTGTACGAATTTATGAAATTAATGAGGATCTAAAACATTATTCGAGGCGACCTGTAAACAGCACAACAGAAACGCAGCCAAGAAACAGAATCAAAAAGTTTCTGTGTCTCTCACAATCCAACTAATCAAACCTTTAAAGCGCCTGAAGCAATCTACTGACATGAAGAACTGTCACCCTATCTACTTTCCTCCTTCCCTTTCTCACTCTTTCCCTCACGTCATTATTCATGTTAGTAAATTGTTTTGATTCCTTCAAACTCAGTCATTGGTTATCTTTTGGACTAACTCTTTACAGCTATCATCTGAAAAGCTTCAACAATGAGTAATTCATGAAAATGATTTGAAAACCGTCCTGAAATACACCTACAAGCGGAAAACGGCGCTATTAATGTGAAAAAATTGCAAAATATAAATGAGAACGCAATTTCAGGGTTAGAAGCACGTGTAAATTTGCAAAGACAAAGGAATATAACTTTCTAATTCGAATGTACTTAATGATAAATTGCTTGATGTTGATTCAGGTGACAGAGCGTGTCGTCTTCCACTTTAAACTATGCCCACTTTGCCTAATTGGAAACTCATCTGATTTATTACTAACGGTTTAACCACCTACCATCGGCAACTTCTTTTGTACCTTCATCCGTTGCTTCTGGTGTGTGGAAACCGTCATCGCCATTTTCTCTAGCCTGAAGAAAGTGAGTGCTATTGCCGTTCAAGACAAGGCCAAAAGAAGAGTTATGAATAAAAACATTGCAGAGAACCACAGTCAAACCTCAGCCTCTGCTGGTTCTCCACCTTCACCTTCAGCAGCTTCGCTGATCTTAATTTCAGACATCTTTTGGGTAGTTTCGTCTTCCTTTTTGGTAGTTTCATCTTCAGCCGATTTCTCTCCATTTTCTGTGGTGACCGGTGGGGCGGATGTTGCTTCCTCCGACATGGCTGAAAACATTCAATATTCCGGCAAGCCATTCGTAAGTCCTGCCGCATTTCTGAATCGAAGACCACGAGTAAAAAATGAAAAGCATACAGCCTAGAACGTTTTAGCGCAACAATATTAGGCTCAATAGAAACCCAAGGAAAAATGAACGTTTTTTAAAAGTTTTTGGCTTTCACACTAATGAAGCCGTTCATCAGAAGCTTGGTGCTTTGACATTTTAAGTACTCGCTTATAAACACATGCAAAAATGCCTCCGAACTCAAGCAGCAAGTTGCTCATGCTCCAAAAGGAGAAGGGATGATTACCTCTACGTGGATGGGACTCTTCCAATTATAATCGAACTGGAATTCAACCCTTCAACTGGACGTTCGCATTCCAAACGTAGTCTTTGGGCTGAATGTTTGCTTTTTGCTTAACCAGACAATGTAAAAACGCTGACTAAACCCCTATAACTCAACGCAACTCTGAAAATGACTTGCGTATGTTCAATGCAAAGGAGTGCACCGAATGCTGCCGGAATAGAATATCTGTGTGATAAAAAACACATTCGTACCAAAGACTTTAAAAGAAATGTACGCACAAACACAATAAATTCAGAATTTTACATACTAACCGCGTACTTACCTTAAGAGTTTGGCGAATTTGATGCGGTTACACTAGTATGGCTTCTAATACAAGAGATCAATACTCATCTAATATACAACCTTCCGACAGTAAAATTACTAAATACCACCCGAAAGCCCATTTGCATCTTTTTCAAGACACCAGAATGATTAACACCAAAGGGTACCACTACAAAACTGGTCACCAAATCTCAGCGTAACCTCTGAAAACAATCATTCTGCAATCCTTCAATTTATTTATCGAAAACGAAAGTTACGTTGGCGATGGAAAACGTGGTTGAAACAACTCGCGGCGGGTGACTATCGGCAGCTTTCGCAATCTTTATTAAAGGTCGCACGCTGTGCATTGCATCGACGGTGGTCCCAACACGATTGCCACATCTCGCCGACCCTCCTCATTTCTGAAGGCAGCCTAAAATTTGCTACTATCTTTTTATTTTAAGGTTGTTTTTTGGGAGTTATGGGGTCGAATCACTTCGTGATTTTGGTTTAGGTTTCTTTGAGTATGTCTGCGATGTTTGGGTAGCTATCGTCAAAATGTTTGTTCCTGTTTCGAGCTTTCTACCGTGTGGTGCAAATCGTGGATACAGTACATTTTGTAGAGTCGATTTTTAAATTTGTGTTGGCCCAGCCGATTGTTTTTTCATGCCCTGACATCATTTTCTTGACAAATTAGCTTTAGAGTTCTATCTTGATCAAGGGTAAAGCGTGCGAGGCTTTAATTCTATTTTGGTGCGAAGTGTGGGAAAGTTCAGGGCCAGGGGAGTTGGACGTGTGGTGAGCTCTGTGAGCTTTGTATAGAGTTGAAGCAGTCCTAGCTTTCGGTGCAGGTTACTGCCTCTAGCCCTCGAACGTAGGACACGGTTGAACAGAAACTGTACGAACTCTATGAACCGCAAGAGTTTATCCACAACAGAGGATGGCAGGATTAATTGCTCATTCAAAGTTACGACAATGACGTAAAGGTCGGACTAGATAAAAGAAGCTTCTTTCTAAGCCTGCGCCAAGTTGACAGGGCGAAAAATACGAAAGAATCAAGCTACAGTGCAGAAACAAAAATTCACTACGGGCACTCGGCTCTTATAGTAATCCGGCGCAGTATAACGCCGTTTTAATACACAAATTCTCACCCGTCACATCGAAAAGTGGTCTTGGGCAAGGACACGAGTGTCAGGGGGTACTGTGGGAAACGAGTGCCCATGCGAAATTTCCGTTTTGATTGCCTCAGTCAAGCTTCATTGTTGGAAAATTATAGCAAAAATTGCGGATATAAAGGTTGACATGATATCAATCAGATGTATCCAAGCCTTGTCATAGATCCGCCTGTTCTTTACTTTCAGCATGATATTGAACGGTATCAACCGTCACGTAGCTGAATTTTCCCTGTTCTGAGTTCACCATATCGATGCTGGAACGGGTCTCATGATCTGGCTACCGCTTTCTTATCATAACAGAGTGTAGTTCAAATCCATAAGCGTGGCCAGTTTCAACTAATGCGAACTGTCGGTGAGCTTATTTGTTTGAATTAATTCTACGAGACGGCAGTGTCCCCGCCATGGTGTTTAATACTACCGGAGTCCTTATTGTTCTATTCGTTTTGGGTTCTAAATTATGTAAGGAAATAAGCCTAGCCTTAGATTCCCCTGTTGATTGGAACTCTGCAAAAGTTTAGTTTATTAGCTATGTAAGCCTTGTTGATTTTTATCGCTGACTTCAGTTGCAGATTAGTGTTGAGCGCTACGCCTAGTACTTTCTCTTGTTGAATTGACGTATTTTATCTTCAAACGTTATCCCAACCGTGTTGTTTTGTCTTGCTTATTTTCGTTGGCTTACTTGCTTTAATTTTTCTTTTTTACGTCCCTCATTTGCCACTTTTCAAATTCACTACCCGCTGGTGGTTCTCTTTTTCAGATTTCACTTAGAGTTTTGATAACAAGGTGTGAACCATATGACCATTTGGGAGAGAACTTGACTGTACTAGCATGCAGTTTACGATTTTGTAAAGACTTATTTCCAAACAAGTTACTGTGAGATGAGATGGGAAAAGAAGAACCTGTCAAACTGTTTCACGAATGTCGTTGGCTTCCCGTACTTACTAACGATACTATGGGTATTAGGCCTTTCCACTCGAGCTGCGCTCCTTTTTCACCCTTCTGTGCCCTATCTCCAAATGCAGAAGTGCAAAATAAACTCTTGAATCACGGTCTTTCGTACCAGGAAATTCAAGCAAGAATCGTTACAGCCTGGTTTGCAATTGTGTTGATCAAGATTTCTTCTATTTTTATACTCTGTGCCGGTTCCACCAATTCTACCTAGCCTTTAAGAACAAAGTGTTACCTACTCCGCGTCTTGTCCATGCTATTTGTAATTGGTTTTTTTGGTAAGTCTGTCCTCATGATGAATTTTTTAGAGACCATGGTCTTCAAGCGCTTGGTACAAATAGGTCGTGTTGTTTTTATCGCGAAGGGGAAAGACGCTGGTAAAATTGCCACTATTGTCGATGTTGTCGATGGTAATAGAGTAAGTTATACGTTGCTTTTTGCGTTGTTCTTATTCTCAAGTGCTAATCGTTGTTTAGGTCCTTATTGATGGCCCTAGTACCGGCGTTATCCGCTGCGTTCGAAACCTCAAAGATCTTCAATTGACTAAATTCGTTGTTAATGTACGTGTTGGTCAGCGAACCAAGAAAGTAAAAGAGGCATTTGATGGTGCTAAAGTAGACCAGCTCTTCAAGCAAACGACATGGGCTAAGAAGATCGCTCAGAAGAAAATCGTGAGTTCATTATGACGTTTTCGAACTTCATACTAAAACCTTCTCTCATAATTTCTTTGGACTCATTTTCTTACAGTCGTGAAACATTGTTCGTGTCGATTCTAAGACTCTCATGGTTTCTGTTAGGGGCAAAGCTAAGTATTGAGACGGGTTTGATAAAAGTCAACTTGTGCTACTTTGTACATTTCTGTGGTGTTCATTACGGCACCGGTCCCTTGGATAGGCACCTCAAATGACAGATCTTTCCCGTTCGACAGTTTTTCCTACGGTGATTGCTATTGGTCACGAACCTTAACAACAACGGTGGTCATATCCACTGCAGTGGTTATCACTTCATTATCAGCCGTTGCTATTCAAGAGTATTCTTTTCGCACATTTTCAGTACCGTTTGTTAATATAATCACAGATCATTACTTATAAGAACGAAAAACGAGAACTGATCCGGCAATACTCTTTCCAAGGTTGCCATTACTTCCTATCTCCTAAAAGTTTCCTTCCTGCCCCAAACGCTCACAGATGTTGACCCTCGGGATGCTGATATTGTAGCGAACTTTGTTTCTTTCTTGGTCTTTTTAGTTGGAACAATACTTTGAGCGAAGATCTATGTTTGCCCGTCGCGGAGCACTCTTTTGCACAGCATGCTTCTCTTCGAATAAAACTTTTATATCATTCTCAAAGACTATTTCAGTTGAGCGCCTCATTTCGGCTATCAATTACGCTCGTAGCTTTTATTTGTGGCGGTATTCCGCACGTATTTAATATGACTTCTTTGTTTTCATCTTTTGAGCACATACGAAAAAACCGCTTTAACGAAGACGCTCGTCAAAAACTCAACATTGTTGAAACAACCGCGAAACGAAGGGGTGCTTACGAAGTAGACTTGCCCAGGGTACGGAGAGTCCTCGAAGAAACTTGTTACACTGTTATGATCGAATTCCACTAGCTAGAGCTAATGGCTTTCTTTGAAGGAGAAGTTTCCAAGTTTTGAGGGGATAGAGACTGCCTTAGGAACTTAATTGTAATGGTAACGACAATAATACCACACCGCTTAATACCATTTCGTACTGGCATAGATCTGCTGTTTGTTACTTCGTTCTAAGGTTGAGAGAGAAAGCTACGGGTTATATCCCAACTTTGTTACAAAATAGGATGAGCGCGGCGCGGACCGGGCGATCTGATTGGTATTAAAATTAATTCACACTTTCCGGTTGTTTTTTTTTGGGCAAGTTGCGGTGCAAGACGAGTATCGTTCCGAAGAGTGTATAAATACGCATTACGTTGGTGCACTATTATACTTTTGAAGAACTATTCTGCTTTTCTTCCCTGTAAGGATCATGGACTTCTGAGAGTAGTCCCTTTGTGAAATGCAGAAAATGATCGAAAAAGTGAGAGACAAAAGATTGTGCGAGTCGAACTCAAGCAACTTTTTCAATTACATGACCCTAACAGTAATCTTAAACCGGAAACGGCTGATTGGCAGGCCGACGATCCATATCCTGTCGTGTTCCTGGCATCGCGTGATCCTCCACTGGAACTCAGTATTTTTTTTTTATTTAAAACACGTCGACAACAATGTAGTCACACGCGGATACATTGTCGTCTTCGTGTTAAAGGCCTTCAGTTGGCTGGATGGAAGCACAAATTCCCTTACTCCATTATCACCTTTCCAATTCTTCGAATCCATATACGCTCAGTTATTTTTCTGTAATGTCGCTGATTTAGTGCAGAAAAGACACTTTCTGAATAGTTCTGAGCAGCCAAGTTCTCGAAAGGTCTGGTGCTCTGGTTTTCTACTCAACCTTCGAGCAGTTCCCAAACAGTGTAAAAGGTTCTTCAATCAAATACCTCTTTTCTGTTTACGCTTCGCCCATTTCAAATAAGTACCCAACCGGATACTTCCGCTGTAGTCTACCAGCTTCTCCAGATTTCCGAGTAATTTTAGGAAATGGAGTTCAGACAAAGAAGCCCACTTTACTTCTCGCACAAATGGCCCACTGGTATTCTTGGAGGTCTGGATTTCATGGAATGTGAATTTCAGAAGTTTTTCATGACATTGTGTGAATAGAAGGGATCTTGCAGAGATCGAAAAAGAGTTGGGATCAATCAGTTTCAATTTCAAAACTTAACTAACGAGAAATTGCTATACCCTGGAAAACTTAGCACAGTGAGAGACATGCATCGTCTTCACCCTTGTCGACTTCATCGGGAAAAAATGGTCATGCTGTCAATTCAGTTGGCTTTCAGCTAATTTTAACCATTCAATTGGGGGGGGGGGGGGGGGGGGGA